AAAATACACAAATCCTGCTCAACAGAAAAATGGAATATTCAACAAGCAAAATTTATTGTGGCGTCAAGATTAAATCAAGAATAAAGAATTAGTTTGTAAAAGAAAAGGAGCCCAAAAAATACATCAACTGGGCCTCCAACTCTGGTCCTCAAACATCTATATAGGGAAGTAAAAAGGGATTTTGTTACTGGGCAACTGCAGCACAGATACAGTCCCGCCACAATATCCCAGAAAAAGACATGGAAACAGGAAGCAGGGAGTTGCTGCAGCCCAAAAAGGAAAGGAAAAAAAAATGTGTTAGGATTACCAGAGAAGAAACACCGGAGACTTTACTCAGTAATGATAAAAACCCCACATTCTCTGGAATCTAAATTAGAAGAGTGGCATTATTGGAACATTCAACTGAGGAGTGTGAAAATCAAGGTCGCTCCTTGCCAGTGGAACAGGCAGTGAGCAGCATGGAGAGACTACCACGTTCACCTGCCCCCCACCTTGCTGCGCTGCTGTTTTGCACTGGAGGTTGAGGGCAGCCACACTCCTCCGAGGACTGCCTTCTGGTCCATCATACCTCTATGCCTTCTAGTAGCTGCTCCACCCCAATGTTCACCTGGCCAACTCTTCCCTCTGGATCCGGCTCCCTCAAGCCTCACCTCCTCACCTGCTCCCCCAGCATAGGTCAGCTGCTTGTCCCTCTAGGGAGCTTTCATTTTATTCTTCCTTCTATTATTTACAAATCTTTCTCTTTAGCTAGATTCTAAATTCCTTGGGGGCAAGGAACCACTTCTTAGGGCTAATATTCCCAAGCAGCAAGTGCTGTATCTTCTCAATCCACAAAATATACAATGCACATTTTTGTTAAATAAGACACAAGGAAACTAACAGAAAAAGTATATTTCCAAACACATTATAAAATAGGTTCAGTATTTTATCTTTTAGCTATTTAAACTAACATTTTTGAAAACTTATTTGGAAAAAAAAACACTAGAGAATACAATTTACAAATAACAACAAGAGAGGAAAATACAGATATTTCAAGACTGAAACAAAAACTAATATGAGTCTGAAGAAGAATCCAGGAAAAACTGACTTAAGGGGGAAAATGAAGAGCCTACTGAAAATTTTTCACTTTTATTTTATTTATTCATTTATTTTTTAATTTTTCACTTTTAAAGCAGCTGCCCAAAATTAAGTGGATTCTGAGGGGCACCTGGGTGGCTCAGTTGGTTAAGCGACCAGCTCTTGGTTTTGGCTCAGGTCGTAATCTCATGGGATCGTTGAGTTTGAGCCTCACATCGGGCTCCACACTGCTTGGGATTCTCTCCCTCTCCCTCTGCCCCTCCCCTGCTTGTGCTCATGTTCTCTCTCTCTCTCTCAAAATAAATACACTTAAAACGATTAAATTAAGTAGATGTTGAAATAAAAAGGTTGATCGCCACATAAACTACTGACAGTATTCTCTGGAATACAAGCTGTGATAATCAAGGGGAAATATTAGCATGCTTGAGACTTTTCTCAATTTGGTAGGTTACTTGACTCAACAGGAGAAAACAATCCCACACACACCTGCCTGTAAAAGGCTGAGCACCTGCCAGCGTCCCAACTGCTTACAGGAAAAAAGCAGCAGCTTGCTCACTGAATAAACTGCATGAGAGATTTCCAAACCTTCCAGAGCTCCAGCTTTCACCTTTTAGCGCTTACTTTTTTCTCTGAGCTTTTTAAGGAAATTAGTCGGTGTGTGAAATTTTTCTTTTGTAAACCTGTGTTTGGTAGTTTTGACTTAACTTAGAGCAGTGATTCTCACAACCTGCTGTATTTGGGCCCTTGACCTTTCTTTTGTAGACATATACAGAGAATTCTGTACTGTGAATGTTTAAAGTCAGTCCTGACTTTATGAATTTATACTTCTGTGGAAGAGACAGGAAAATAAACAATTACAATACAGAATTCTGTTTAAGGTTGATAAAAGAAAGCCCTGCTGCTCTCCCTCCTTGAGGTGTTGGGAGAGATGGTAAGACAAAGAACAAAATAGGAAGGGAAAAAGTTAAATACAAATATTAACACTAAGGTGTTAGTAAGACTAGAAATTTTTTCAGGTACATATCATACAGAATTCTATGAAAAGTTAAAAGCTAAAGTCACCAATCGCTTCTCGGTGATTTTTTGGCTAAGATCAAGTGTAAAAGCTAAAGTCACTACAAGATTAAGCTCTTCCCAGTGCTTCTCACTCTCAAAAGTGTGGTCTCCAGGCCTCCACCTCTGCGGGTATTTGTTAAAAATAAAGGTTCCTGGGCTCCGCCTGGAGAAACTCAATCAGTCATTGGAAGTGAAACTTGGAATCCTCATTTTTAAAACATGCCTCACAGGGGCACCTGGGTTGGTCAGTTGACTAAATGTCCAACTTCAGCTCAGCCATGATCTCGCAGTTCATGAGTTCAAGCCCTGTGTCAGGCTCTCTGCTGTCAGAGCAGAACCGGCTTCGGACCTTCTGTCCCCCTCCTCTCTGCCTCTGCCCCCAACCCCCCCCGCCTCTCTCTCAAAAATAATAAAAATATGCCCCACAAGCCGGTAACAATGAGTATATTCAATGACTATATTCAAGCTAAAAATCAAAAATGGAAGTTTTACTTTATATCCTTTACACCGTATGCCCTATATCCTTTGTATTTCAAAACTCAAAGTCCCTTTTTGTGCCTTAGTTATTCAAAACCTCTAAACAAAACACAACAAAAACCCAGGTGATTCTTAAGTGCACTCAAGCTTGAGAACAACTACTTTAGCCCAATTACCAATAGGTACAACCAAAATGACGGTTAGAAAGCAAAGGTATATATACCTGCCAGAAAGTTTTGTGTCTCAAAAAGGCTCTGTATCTCCTAATTACTGACTTTTGAGTGCCAAGTTACTTAACCTTTCTGAGTTTTACCTTCCTTATCTGCACAACCTACAATCAAGATTATGAGGATGCAACGTGGGGTCAACTACACGTCAATGAAAAAAGACTATGAGGGGGGCACCTGGGTGGCTCAGTTGGTTGAGCGTCTTTGGCTCAGATCGTGATCTCAGTCTGGGCGTTCAAGCCCTGCATCGGGGCTCACTGCTCTCAGCACAGAGCCCACTTTGGATCCTCTGTCCCGCTCTCTCTGCCCTTCCCCTGCTCACACGTCTCTTAAAAAAAATAAATAAATAAATAAATAAATAGTTAATTAAAAAAAAAAAAAAAAGATTATGAGGGGTGCCTGCATGGCTCAGTCAGTTAAGCAGCCGGCTTTGTCTCAGCTCATGATCTCATGGTTTGTGAGTTCAAGCACTCCTTCAGGCTCATACTGACAGTATGGAGCCTGGATGGAATTCTCTCTCTCCCTCTCTCTCTTAAAAATAAATAAACTTAAAAAATAAATATACATACATAGAAATAAAATGGGGAAAGGTTCTGAATAGGCATTTCTCCAAAGAAGATACACAAACGGCCAATAAGCATATGAAAGGATACTTCAACATCCTCACTCACTAGGGAAATGCAAGTCAAACCAGGAAATACCACTTCACACCCACTAGGAAGACTACAGTATCTTAGTAGTATCAAGTGCCGTCCAGGATGTGCACCTTGAAATACCATTGGGCAGCTCTTCAAAACAGTTAGCATGTGATCCAGCAATTCCACTCCTAGAAATAGAACCAAGTAGCCAAAAATATGTTTACACACAAGCTTGTACACAAAATAGCATTATCTGTAATAGTCCAGAAGTGGAAACAACCCAAATGCCCATCAACAAACAAACCAAAGGTAATACGTTCACACAATGGAATATTATTCAACCATAAAAAGGAAGTACTAATGGGGCACCTGGGGGGCTCAGTCAAGTGACTCTTGACTTTAGTCATGATCTCCCAGTATGTGGGACAGAGCCCCCATCGGGCTCTGCAATGACAGCACGGAGCCTGCTTAGGATTCTCTCTCTCCCTCTCGCTCTCTGCCCTTGCCCTGCTTGAGCGCTGGCTCTCTCAAAATAAATAAACAAAAAAAAAAAAAAAAAAAAGTACTGGTACAGATATAACCTGGATAAACCTTTAAAACATTAAGCAAAATCGATGTATATAAAAATGTCAGGAAAAAACAAATCTAGAGAAAACAAAATGTTCAGGAGTGGTTGCCTAGGGTTGAGGAGGTTTGGGGGGAAATGGGCAGCGACTAAGTGCTTCCTGTTTCTTTTGGAGGGGGGAGGGTAATAAAAATGTTCTAAAATTTACTGCGGGGATGGATGCACAATGTTAACACACTAAAAACCATTAAATCGCATTCTTTAAATGGGTTAATTTTATAATACGCAATTATATCTCAAGCTATTTTTTAAAAGAAACAAAATGCCTAGCCCAATACAAGGCCTGATACTTTCCGACTGTGCCCATTCCTAAATTACAAAGGGCGGGATTTAGAATGACCCCTAAGGATCCTCCTCCCACTTCTGACCCTTCGGAATCCTGAAGGACCTGACGCTTGCCCTGGGGCTCCTCTGGATAGGGGAAAGACCACAAAACCCGCGTCGCGCAGGGCTCCCACGGTCCTCACAGTTCCTCCGCGGTCCCGCTCCTCCCCACTACCTGCCTGGAGATGCGCTTACCCAAGGCACAAGCCATGGCGGCGCCCACCAGGCCTCCGCCCGACACCACCACATCGTACACGGTGTCTGCCTTGGCGCCCGACCACCGCCGGCAGGAAAGCAGCGGACCTCTCCCGGCAGCTGCAGGTGCAGCCCTCCACCGGCTCAGAGCCAGGCGAGCCGCCATGACGCTGACCCGCAATGTACTTGGCGCCCCGCTAGGCCCTCCTTTTGGTGCACTTCCGGAGCAGAGCCCTCCAATCACTAGCTGCTTCAGTTGCGGCTTTGGAACCTGATATAGAATGCGCAAAGAGTAGGCCAATCAGAAAACGATCCTTGCCAACTTGGGCGGGAAGAATTAGAGGCTCCCTGGGAAGCGGGACTGGTTCAGGCATCCGCCTGGGAGCCAATCAGAAACCTGATCGCGTAGCTAGTGCAGCCACCGCAGCCAAAGCGTAGCACGCCGCTGTCACCGCCGCTTCTTTTTCTGCCCCGCGGAGAAGATGACCGTCGGGAGGCCTGCAGGAGCCTCCGGCGGCGCTCAGTGGAGCCAGCAGGTGAGAGAGAAAGAGAAGGAGAGGAATTCGGTCTGCGCCCGGAACGGAGTCTCTAAAGAGAGGAAACTGTTTGTCATTGCCTTGGAGACAGACGTCAGGGGCGTGTCGCAGAGAGGTGTGGGATTAAAATCAGCAGCGTTTGGGGACCCGCAAGGGACTCTCTAACGGGTTGAGCGTTATGTTAGGCCCTTCATAGACCCACAGCAGTGGCCCTCGGTTTTCGCTTATCCTGTCAACTACCCGAAGACTAATAGTACTATTGTTGTCTCCATTTGGTAGAAAAGAAAACTGAGGCACAGAAGAATCCATACAGAAAGTAGATTGGTGGTTGCTTAGGGCAGGCTGGGAAGGAAGGGTCGAAAGGACTAGGGAAAATAGGGAATGACTGCTAAATGGTATGGGCTTTCTTTGGGGGGGAGGGGTGATTAAAATGCTCTAAAATTGTGACGGTTGCACAACTCTGACTGTACTAAAACTGAGTTGTACTCTTTCAGTAAGTGAGTTGTGTGAACTGTACGGTGTCTCAATAAAGTCGTTTTAAAAATTTTTCCCTAAGATCACATGCTCCTCAGTAGCAGAGCAAGGGCTGGAGCACATACACACCTTTGACTCAGAATCTAGTGTTCTTTTCACTATTAGAGCTGGACCTTGGAGAACCCAGGAAAACCATCACCAATATCACCTGGAGGCCTGCAGCAGCCTACGCCTCACTGATTTCTTAGATGCAACTAGTCATTGTATACAGTCCAATCCTGGCCCCACACCAGCCTCTCTAAGGGTATCTCTAGAATACCACTGACCTCCAGTCACACTGGCCCTCTTTCTAACTCTCCAAGAGTCAAGTTTGTTCCTGCCTCAGGTCCCTGCTTTTGCATTTGCTGTTCCTTAGAACTCAGAACCCTCTTACCCCAGATCTTAGCAAGGCTGGCTCCCTCTCATCAATCAGATGTCAGTCCAAAACTCCTCCACCGCGAGAAAGTAAAGATCAGCCCAGGACTGAGAAAGTCCAGTTCAGACTGTAATGAAGCCAGCAGCCAGATTAGCAGAAAACAGTGTTTCTCAAAGGGCCACAGTGTGCCTACAAAGAGACCAACACCCCCTTCTAAATGATGATGCTTAACTACCAATTACCCAGCTCCACTTTGTTCTAGTTACCTTTTCAATAAAAATTGCTGTCACCCACTTACCAAAGTGTGCCCTCTTCATGACAGCATCCATCCAGAATGGATCCAGAGGGATCCACTCTCTTCCTCAGAATCATTCAAGAGAAGCCAACCCTAGAAAAAGCCCCTCTCCCACCCTCTTACTGAAAGTCCCCACTCTTCTCCCCGCCCCCACACAAGTTCCCTGTAATTTTTCCAATAAATTAATAAGCCTAACTCTGACTATAGATACATTCCTAGTGGCATTTGTGATGGGATTTTATCAACAGAAAAGCTTCCTAAAGCCACTTCATCACTGTGTAATGTCACAATTTATGGCTTTTATTGAATTTATTATCATATACTTGTCTCTTTCCCTCTCATTAGAATGTAAGCTTCATGTGCTTGACTCGTTCTCGGCCTAATGCTCCGTGCACATAAGACACCCAAAAACTATTTTCTAAGTGAATGGAGTACTTAAACCCAGTTGGGTTTCCACTTTCTACGACATTGTTCTTTCAGCTAGACCACATTATCTGTCCTGTTGATTACTCATTCCTAGTAACAGGTGGGATATTAGGTAGACTATTAGGAAAACAGAGGTGTAGACAAAGGAAGCAGGAAAAAGAAGACTGGAAAAAAGTAGGTGAAACCCAAATAGGGCAAGGCCCAGAGTGTGGCCAAGGTCACGGGTAGGATTCCTGGAGTGCCGGGGGCAGAATGCATGATACAGAGTAAGTACTCTGCAAATGCTCACTGCACATGAAGTAGGGAACCAACGTTAGCGGTCTGCTTCCCTTTCCTGCCCTTCAACCAAGCATATGCCCACATACCAATTTGTGAAATGTCTTTAAAGCAAGGAATACATCTGATTCTTCTTCGTTCCTTCCCAGTCGCTAATATACAGAGACCTATTCAAAGTGAAATTAACAGTTAGGCTTTGAGAAAATTTGAAATTATAGTTGACCCACAGTCTTTTCTGTTTCGTTTTAGAGATTTCCCCCCAAATCCTCCCCAGACACAGAGACGGAAGAAGAGCTGTCTGGGGATGGGCTGGTTTTGCCCAGGGCTGGCACACTCGATGACTTCCTCAGCCCGGAGGAGGAGACGGTTTCTAATTCTTCGGACTCCACTGGGAGCTTTTATGAGACCCTGCAGGTACTAAAGCCGAAAGGCAGGTGGTGCCTGTTGGAATCCCTTTATGAGAACAACCCAGACAGTGGCGAGGACTTCTCTGAAGACGATGAGGACCTGGAGAGTTTCTTCCAAGACAAAGGCAGGGGGAAGCCTGAGGCCCAGTACCCTGTGTCTCCGAGGTAAGGAAGGCCCTGCAGTTCAACAGCTGCTTCATGACTCTGGGCCTCATCCTCTTCCTCAGTAAAGTTGTCCCTTACCGAGGCTCCAGCTCAGAATCAGGCCTTCGGAGCCAAACACGTTCTGATTCCTACCCAGTAGTCCTAAATCACTTTGGATAACCCTTAGTCATTGGAAGCACTCGAATTGATTAAAGGGATGCCTTTGTCACTACCTCCCTGAGAATGGCAACAAGGTACGTTTACCTTGGCCCAACGCTGTTATATGCACCTACACCGTATCTTATTTTCTCCTCCCACTAACCCTGTAAGTAGCTATTATTTTTGCCATTCTCCAGATGAAGAAATTGAGGTTCCAAGCAAACCCTGCCAAAGGTCACACAGCTGGTAATTGAAGCAAGATTTGAACCTGGGTCTGACTCCAAAGCCTTGCTCTGCACCATTGCACTGTTCTCTCTCCCATATGAAGATAATGGAATGCAGGGCAACCGGTGGAACGTGAGACTCTTGATCTTAGGGTTGTGAGTTCGAGCCCCACATTGGGTGTAGAGATTACTTAAAAAGAAAATCTTTAAGGGGCACCTGGGTGGCTCAGTCGGTTAAACATTCAGCTCTTGATTTCGGCTCAGGTCGTGATCTCACGGTTCGTGAGACTGAGCCCGGAGTCAGGCTCTGGGCTGACAGTGCGGAGCCTGCTTGGGATTCTCTCTCACCCTCTCTCTGTGCCCCTCCCCCACTCACACACCCTTCTCTCTCTCAAAATACATAAACATTTTTTTAAACATTAAAAAATTAAATCTTTAAAGGAAAATATTAGAATGCAAAGTGGCAAATCTTGAATCAATTCTGAGGAAGGACTTCCAACTAGGGCTGCTAGATGGCCTGAAGGAAGGAGCGAGGCACAGGCCCAGACGCCTGCAGGGCTGTGTTAGGCTCAGGATCTAGCTGCCGTCTTCTGGGAGGGAGTTGTGGGAAGGAGCAGGAGGAGGAAAGGGCCTCCAGCCTGGCCTGGCCTCCGCACAGCTGCTTTCTCCCCCCAGGTGCAGCTCCCCACGGTGCTGCAGCTCCCTGAGCAGCCTTCCCTCCGACACTCCCAAGGTTCAGCCCCAGCCACCTTCAGGCTCCAGGCCTCCCTCCCAGCACAGAAGCATCAGCTCCTGGGCATCAACCATCACCGTCCCACGGCCGTTCCGCATGACACTGCGTGAGGCCCGGAAGAAGGCGCAGTGGCTGGCCTCACCTGCTTCCTTTGAGCAGGAGAGGACGCAGGCCCAGAGGCAGGCCCAGGAGGAGGCCGAGTGCCAGCGGCAGTTCCGGGCACAGCCTGTGCCAGCACACGTCTACCTGCCCCTCTACCAGGAGATCGTGGAGCGCAATGAGGCCCGCAGGCAGGCAGGGATCCAGAAGAGGAAGGAACGGCTCCTCTCTTCCCTGAAGCCCTTCAGCTTCCTCGTGAAGGAGGAGCAGAGAAAAGAAGCTGCTAAACAGAGGGAGTTGGCTGCCACAGCTAAGGCCAACGTCCCCAAGCAGAATGCCACCAGAAGGATCCCCAAGTCCATTCTGGAGCCAGCCCTCGGGGACAAACTCCAAGGTAAAGACATCCTTCCCACCCTGCTGCCTCCTACCTGGGGAGTACCAAGACGTGCCGTGGAGACTTAGGCTCGGGGGGTCAGCCTGGCTTGGGGATAAGTTCATTGTTCGGGCGGACGGGCCTCAAGGCCACGCTCCCTGCCGGTTGGGTCCGTCTGTATCATGGGGGAGCCCTGTAAAGAGTGGAGAGTGAGAGGTCATGCAGCCTTCTCCAAGTTTGCCCTGATGACCTCTCTCTCAGAGAGTGGGTGTGAAGGCGTCTGGTACAGCACAGGTACAAGAACAGAGAACCAGGGAGGCATCCAGGGACCAGCTTGGGCCGGTGCTACCACCAGCTGCCCCTGAGGGAAGCTCCTACCGCCTGCCCCCCCCCCCATCCTGGTGACCTGCACATTTCAAGAAATGTGGTTCGATGAAAGGACTCAGGCTTTACTCATTTAGTAATGTGTCAAGCCCCAGGCACTCCTCTGTGTTCAATAAACAGACATGGAGTTTGTGGACAAGGGAGGAAGGAAGACAGATAACAGGCAAAAAATTACAAATGTGATGAGTCATTTGCAAGGATTAGAGGTGGGAGCCTCCAGGGTCATATAGAGCACATAACAGAGGGACCTAACTTAGGACATGGTGAGGCGGTGGGGACAGACAGGGAAGGTCCCCAGGGAAAGTGAGCACTGAGACCGACCCTGAAGGATGAGCAGTGTGTTTAATTCAGGGAAGACGGAGGAAGAGTGCATCAGAGAGAGCAGCGTGGAGGTAAGAGGAGGCTGAACACATTCAAGGGATGGGAGGAGGATGGAGGGTAGAGAAGAGGGAGCAGGGAGGGAGAGGCGGGCATGGGCCAGACCTGGGGGAGGGGGAGGAAATTTGGACTTTATCCCAAGGGCACTGGGGAGCCAACTGAAGGGTTTCAAACAGGGTGGCTCAGGATCAGATCTGCAGCTCGGAAAGATCACTCTGATGCTGTGGAGATGATTAAGGGGGAGGGACAGGACCGAAGGGATGCTGATCTATAGCACACTATGTCACCAGTTCAGCGGAGAGACTGAAATTAGCAGCAGGGATGGTAAAGAGAGGCCAGACCGGAACATGGTTAAAGAGGAGACTGCAGGACGGGGGACTGATGAGAGAAGGCAGGCAGGAATGATTTGGGCAATAACCTGGGCCTCTGGGTGGATGGCGGGGCCCTTCCTGAGCCAAGGAGACCGGCTCACCCCTCTGGCTTGGCCTCTGAAGGAGGAACCGCAGAGCGTGCTCAGTAAATGTAAATGGTGGCTGCCTCTGCAGCCTGCTGGCACATGGCAGGGTGTCCTGGTCAACATTTAGGAATGAGCTCTCTCCAGAAAAGAAGAAGCAAGCTGATTTGTAGTGTTTGCCACTTTCCCTGGTAAAAATACACCTATTCTGGCCAAGGTGGAGCTTCCCATATGATGTCAACTGGTTCACAAAATCCTGCAAAGCTGGCAATCGGCTCCAGCACAATACTGCACTGGAGCTTTAGAGGGAACCTTCTCCAAACCTTTAGGTGTGAGGCAGGGTCCCCTGTCACCCATCACCACCCTGACCTTTTCTCCACAGAAGCGGAGCTCTTCAGGAAAATTCGCATCCAGATGCGAGCCCTAGACATGCTCCAGATGGCCTCCTCCCCCATCATCTCCTCCAGCAGCCGGGCTGACCCCCAGCCTCGAACAGCTACCCGAACCCAGAAGGAAAAGCTTGGGTTTCTGCAGACTGACTTTGGATTCCAGCCTCGTGTGAATCCTGCCGTCCCCGACTACGAGGGCCTTTACAAGGCCTTCCAGAGAAGAGCTGCCAAGGGAAGGGACACCAGAGAGGTGACTCACAACAAGCCCTTCTTGCTGAGAACCGGCAGCCTGCGTCGCGCTCAGCGGACCTGTGACACCACCACCTCTGGAGAGAGGAGGGTGAGAGCCCTGGGCAGTTACGGGAGGGTCCTGGCCTGAGACCCAAAATACAGGAATGGGCCGGGTCTCAACATACGGCACTTCTCATGACATTTTTGTTTTTTTAAAAACACTGGCTCAGCTGTTGGATCGATATCCAACTCTTGGCCTGGTAATAAACTTGGGAACTCATTACTCTTTCCTTAATCCCAGGGAAAAAAAAAAGATTCCTGGTCTGACTAGTCCTTCACTGAAATTGAATCCTCCTTACAATAGAAACTAATCACACGTTGCTGTCCCACCAATACCAGCCTTCGTTTCTTCTAGGACTCTCCACAGTCACCAGCCACACCCCTGCCAAGGAGTCGTTCTCTGAGTGGCCTTGCTTCTCTCTCTGCCAACACCCTCCCTGTGCACATCACAGATGCCACCAGGAGGAGGGAGTCTGCAGTCAGGTGAGTGGTCAGGCTCGAGATCTTGGCCCAGGACCAAGTTCAGTGGTCAGTGCTCGGATTCTGGCCCAAATGCTAGAAACCATCCTGCTGCTGGGCCTCCTCTCCTGTTACTACAGAGAACTAAATGGGTGGAAGGGATTTCTCTGATCAGGACAGAAATACAGGTAACTCTCCACATGTAGTGATGGAGAACATCTGGCCATCATTCATGGGGGACTTACTCTGTGCCAGTCACAGAGTACCTTATGGAGCCCATAGTTTAATAGCTAGTATGAAATATAGAAAATCAAAGAACTACTACTTTGTGAGTAGTGCAATGACAGGGAAATACAGGGGACCTGGGAGGCTCTGGGCAGCCTGGGGCAGGGTTCTCTTTAATGGATGTCTGAAGAATGAGGAATTAGCCAAAGGCTGGAAAGAAAGAAAGTTCCAGAGAGAACAACATAAGTGAAGACCCACAGATGAGAGAGGAAGCCATTAGGAATAGGAATTCAGAGAAACCTGTTGGCAGGTGGCTGACCTTGTCACGAAGAGAAGGCATCCACTGCACAGATTTGAGATTCTCTGAGATTCTGCTAGTTCAACCGAACTAGCAGAGTCGGTTGGGAAGCAGGAGCCTCCTTACTTTTTCATTCCTTAACTGGCCTCTGTCATGGTGTTGTTCTCGACGAGCCAGCGCCCCAGCAAGAGTTCCTCCACTAGACCTCTGAGCTGAGGTCAGCACGAAAGGTTGTGGTGTTAACAAGCAGTTTAGCGCTGGGAGAGGACGAGCATCTTAGTGCTTTCCTGTGGGGCTAAACAACTTGGCTCTTTAGGCTCCACAACAGGGATTTTAGAAATATATTTAGAGGGGCGCCTGGGTGGCGCAGTCGGTTAAGCGTCCGACTTCAGCCAGGTCACGATCTCACGGTCCGTGAGTTCGAGCCCCGCGTCAGGCTCTGGGCTGATGGCTCGGAGCCTGGAGCCTGTTTCCGATTCTGTGTCTCCCTCTCTCTCTGCCCCTCCCCCGTTCATGCTCTGTCTCTGTCTGTCCCATAAATAAATAAAAACGTTGAAAAAAAAATTAAAAAAAAAAAAAAAAAAGAAATATATTTAGAATCCAAGAGATACTCCCTTCTTCCTCAAATGTCATAGTCAGAGCTACTAAATCAAGGCTAAATGCATCGGTGTCCTGAGGTCCCAATAAAGTAGGCCTTATGGGCCAGAGGCTGGCCCCCCGAGGGGATATCCATATTTGCTTCCCAGCAGTGGGGAGTTTGATATAATAGCAGACTAAACTTTCATGCCTTCAAGCAAGAATCTTGGTGTTTTTTTTTTCTTTTTTTAAAAAATGTTTATTTTTGAGAGAAAGCATGAGTGGGGGAGGAGCAGAGAGAAAGGGAGACAGAGGATCCAAAGCAAGATCTGTACTAACAGCAGAGAGCCTGATGCGGGGCTGGAACGTGAGACTGAGCCACCCAGGCGCGCCCAGTTGTTTTCCCTCTCTAGTACCTTGTCAAATGATACTTACGCAGACCAAGTGCTTGCTATAAGTTAACCCCAAACTGTGCATGGAAAGAGGCCTATTTCCAGTTCTCTGTGGTCCCAAAGGACCACGAAACCAGGCACCTTCAAGCCCACTGTTTACAGTGCAGTGGTCAGGGGCAAAGGCTTGGGAGTCAGACATACTGGTTCTAATCCTGGCTTTTCCGCTGGCATGCTGGGTAGCTTTGAGTGAGTGGCTTATCCTCTCCGAGGCTCGCTCTCCTCACCTATAAAAAGAGGGGCTTACAGTTCTTACCTCATGGGGCAGTTCTGGAGATTACAAAAGATAATTGATATAAAGCACTTGATTCTTTTCTGCTCTTGGTTCAGAGTAGAGTAGCTCAGCAAATGGCAACTATTAGTATTGTTTCCAGACAGGCCAGAAGCCTTAGTGTAAGGATATTGTATTTCAGTTCAATTATTGAACTTCCCCTGGGGCAGAAAATCACCGTGTCCATAGTGCTGGGAAGGCTTCATTTGCCAATCTCAGAATCCTATTCTTTCTGAAGCGCCAGTGTGGTAAATTACCCCACTCATAGAAAACACCATTTCACTTTCCAGAGGTTACTAAGAGTGCTTTTAATATACTCAAGTTGGTCATCTGTGTGTTTTTTGCCTCCTTTCTTCAGAAGTTCACTTGAAAAAAAGGACAAAACAGATGAGAGTACTCAGTGGTTGGAGATGCACAAAAAGAAGTGTCAAGCGATGTCTAAATCTGTGACCTTGCGTGCAAAAGCCATGGATCCTCATAAAAGCCTGGAGGAAGTGTTCAAAGCAAAGCTGAAAGAGAATCGGTCAGTGTCATCCATGTGCCAAAGGGTATCTGTCTTGGGATCCAACAGATCATTGCCCTTGAAAGTAGGCTCCTATAATTGCACACAGTCAAGGATTTAGTTTTGCTAGGCAGTTAGGAATTTACAATGTCTTTGGGAATTACTCTGCTTAACTGGAATGAAGGGTTGGAAAAAGAATTCATTCTAAAAATCTTGTTAATTCCAGGAACAATGACCGTAAAAGGGCAAAAGAGTATAAGAAAGAATTGGAAGAAATGAAGAAGAGAATACAAACAAGGCCCTATCTCTTTGAACAAGTTACCAAGGTAAAACTAAGCCATCATTCTTCTCTCTCAGTCTTGGATGAAAGTGCTTTTAGGAATGATGGAACAGAGGGGCACCTGGGTGGCTCAGTCAATTAAGCCTCTGAGTTCGGCTCAGGGCATGATCTCATGGTTCTTGAGTTTGAGCCCCATGTCAGGCTGGGTGCTGACAGCTCACAGCCTGGAGCCTGCTTTGGATTCTGTGTCTCCCTCTCTCTCTGCCCCTCCATCACTCATGCTCTATCTTTCTCTCTCTCTCTCTCAAAAGTAAACATTTAAAAAAAAGAAATGATGGAAAAGTTTAATATCTGGGTATTAAACATTTCCTTGAGGATCAGAAAGATTCAAAATTGAGCCTGTTACCAATTTCCACGCAAAGAAGTAGTGCAATGGTGAATGTTGCTTGGACTGATTTCACCCAAGACTAGACTCCAGAGGCATCTGTGAAGTGTTTCACTTCTGGGAGTGTTCGCTACAGTCTAGCTTTCACTAGACTGAGGGCTAGATGCCACATACACAGTAACAGTCTGGCTGTGTTAGTGAGAATATCTTTAATTTACTAACATCATCCCTTCCCCTGCAGTGCTGGTGCCCTGGGCATCCCCAGCCTCTAGAGCTGTGGCACATTTATAGGTCCCCAGAGGTTGGGATGCTCACAAGCACCCCAGCAAGCCCTTTTCAGATTAAGTGGCTTTCAGGATGAAAGAATCATTTTAAGATGTTCTCTAGACTTTTAGGGAAGTTGGATCCAGTTGAGATCTCCTTAAGGGAGCTCTGGAGCTATCTGAACAGCCTTAGAAAGGCCACTATTCCTGGAAGTTTTGGGCTGTATCAGGCTGTCGATCCCTCTTCTCTCTAGTTTCAGACAAAAGTTGGAGTTCCCTAGTAACCTGGTTCCAACTGCTGGACATTATCTGCATCTTACAGCCAGTGTGTTATCTAGGCATTTCCTGAGTCCACCCCTCCCCACCCCCATACATACCACACACACACACTTGCACACATGCTGGACTGTCTGGACTGGATTTACTTAGCAACTTGCGTTGTTCAAAATCTCTCATAATGATCTCTCCTCTTTATGTTAATTCTTTCCAGCAAAGCTCACTCTCAGATCTCAACAGATCTTTCACCACTCTAGGAAAAATACAAAGTGCTCTATGTGATTTTGCTACTAAACATTTAAATTAAAACAAAGAAATAACCTTTTTCTGGTCCACATACAGACCATCTATCCTGTTAAGAGTGTTACTAGTGCAGCTTATTTTCTATTTGTTATATATTAGTGTTCCTGATGATGGCTTGATTGCTTTTATTTTTTTTTTTAAGTTTATTTTGAGAAAGCAGGGGGGAGGGGCAGAGAGAGGTGGAGAGAAAGAGAATTCCAAGCAGGCTTTGCACTGCCGGCAGAGAGCCCTACACAGGGCTTGAGCTCACATATTGTAAGATCATGACCGGAGCTAAAATCAAGAGTCAGACATTTAACTGACTGAGCTACCCAGGTGCTCGTGGTTGCTTTTAAATCTTAAAACATTTTTAGTCCACTTTTTTCATCTGAGTCTTACTTGGTGGTCCAAAAATCTAAATCCTTGCTTCTCAAAGGTGTGGCTCCCAAATTCACAGTTGGCATCTCCTGGGAGTGTTAGACACAGAGTTTCGAACCTTATCTAAGACCTACCAAATGAGAATCTACATTATAACAAGATCTTCAGGTAGTTCCAATGCTCTTTAAGGCTTGAAAACAGGCTCTAAGTAATTTTCATGTAAATCTGTGCCTAGCATTAATGGGGACAATTTTAGGCATGTGGATTAAGCAAGTGATTTAGAATTACCTTGTAATTCACAAGACAGCTACAGCAGATTTGTTTCCATTCCTCAGGACCTTGCTAGGAAAGAAGCAGAACAACGGTATCGAGACACCCTGAAGCAGGCTGGGCTGGATGAAGACTTTGTGAGGAACAAGGGTGAGGGCACCAGGGCTGTACAATGGAAGGAGCAGTCAGAAGTCCCTGAATGTCCCAGGTAATAATCTCACGTGCTCCTGTCACCCTGTGGCTCTCAGATTACGATCCCTAGTAATGCCACTGGGAGGGACCTTTAGAACAGCCACACGTATTTTGAGATCACAATCCTGTATTTATAGAATACTAACCCAGAGATCTCCAGATAATATATTTAAATTGGGAGAATAAGTGCAGTTGTTATTGTTAATAAAATATAACCATTGTATATTAGGTTTAGGTTCCTTCGATTTGAAACAGATCATTTTTCCAATTCTAGTTCTAGGGCCATCAGTCAAGAATATTTTTACTTCACTTTTGAGGGACAAACATATATTTTTACTTACTATAAAATGATAAAACTGCTTTTCTAACACTTTTTATTTTGTTTGGGTAATTGAAAGTAAAAACCTTTAAAGATGCATAATAAAAGGTATAATAAAAGGTATAATATCCTAAACAAGCAAAGCCTATCTCTTCCCCCCCAGCATGATCACCGTGGCTTGTTGAAATCTAGCACTCTTTAAAAAGTAACTCATTAGCTGGGGCGCCTGGGTGGCACAGTCGGTTGAGCGTCCGACTTCAGCCAGGTCACGATCTCGCTCCGTGAGTTTGAGCCCCGCGTCGGGCTCTGGGCTGATGGCTCAGAGCCTAGAGCCTGTTTCCAATTCTGTGTCTCCCTCTCTCTCTGCCCCTCCCCCGTTCACGCTCTGTGTGTCTCTGTCCCAAAAATAAATAAACGTTGAAAAAAAAAAAATTAAAAAAAAAAAAAAAGTAACTCATTAGCACCACCCCTCCACTGGTATCAAAAGGGAGAAGAAAAGCATAGTTATTGCCATTATTCTCAACTTTTTTTCTTAAATCCTAATGGCTCCTCCCCTAATTCCTATCCCAGTTCTCCCCCTAGAAATTTAAATTTCCCTTTACACCCCATATAAAATAATGAAAATGTTGAAACCATCCGTAAGCCTTACATAATGCTTTAATTACAAACATTTTATTTCATAATGCTTTAATTTATTCTGTAGCACCCATGAAACTACAAAACTCGGCACCAGAAATCCACAGCAGGATTTAGAAGAATCTCTACAACAGCCTACAAGCCCCAAAAAAGAACTGGAGGAGCTGTCTCATGAATTGCTAGATAATTTCAAATCACTTGCTTAATCAGTAACACTTAAAATTACTGCTTTTCAATATTAAGTAACTAACTTGGGGTTGAGTCAAGGCAGGCAAAACTTGGCTTTTGAGCCAATGGCTACTCTTGGAGAATGAGGATAAGAAAAGTAGCAAGAAAAAAAGTAGCAGGTAACAGGGAATGGTTTAAGCAGATCAAAGTGAAAAGCCTCAGGGTGGAGGATTCAGAGCAGAGTTAAGCATTCTTGCTTCTTGGGCTTCCTACTTAAAAAAGGAACACACACCCAAATGCCTACAGGGGCCAGTTAGGAAACAAATGGATCACATGGGCTGGGTATAAGGTCCACTATTAATAGCTAGAACCCAGGCCCAGAATTGCCAGATCAGCAACTGAGTTTTCAAACAGAAGCCAGGAATGTCCTGTTGGCAACCAATTAAAACATTACTTAGAAATATTGTGTGGGAAAACAAAAACACTTGCAGGAAGACAAGTCTGCAACTTCTAGTACATGGTTTCTTAGCCTCAGTACTATTGATTTAGGGCCAGATGAGTGTGTCGGTGTTGGGTGTTGGGAGAAGGAGCTGTCCTGTACATTGTAGGACGTTAGCAGCATCCCTGGCTTCTACTCACTGGATGCCAGTAATGCCCTCTCCAGTTATGACAAAAATGTCCCTAGATATTGCCATATGTGGGGCAGTGGGCAGGCAAAAATGTTCCCAGTTAAGAACCACTGCTCTAGTATAAAAGTAAGGGCTACAGAAAATAAAAATTGGCATTTTAAGAATACAAGATATTGACATGAACTCAATCTACATAACAAAGGGTGATTATGTTTGTCATTAACAACTTAAGAACTATAACTACTGAATTTAAAACGGCAGTTAATTTTTCCTGTTATCTGCTTAAGATATGCCACTGTGTGCATGGTATGTGTGTAAGCCTGAGGTTCATTTTCAATAAATGTGAAAATTCTCTGACAGCCATGATTTTCTACTAGTAAGCGGTCTTTGAAATACTTTTCTTCTCACCAGTGATAATTATTCTCTATCAGTAGCTGTGGATGATAGCAATAGTGCCTATTCTTACCAGAAGCCCCCAATTTCTCATGTTTTAACATTCTGGAAAATTCAAAAGTATATTATTGCCATTTTTCCAGACTCAGACATGGTCCTTTCTGGTGAAGACGGAGCGATACTACAACAACTACTATCTAGGTTTGCTAATTAGACATGAAGATGCTTATGTCATGTTCCCCAAGACTCCTGGGCTCAGTTTTACCTGTATGGAATCCAAAGGGTAAATCGGTGCCCTGTCTTAAAGGGAAAGACGGAACTATTTTCTTAATCTCCTGAGAAAACAAATTTTGTCCAAAACAAGGAGCCAAAGAACTTACTGGGCTGTCTTGTTTATTTAAAGGGAAAACAACTGAAGCTCTGAATCATGTGATAGTTAACTTTAAAAAAAAACAAACAAAAAAAACCCCAAAAAACCCTTTTAACATGCTATCGTATATTCCATAAACAAAGAAAGCAAAGTGGCCACGTAGAGGTGGATGTGACAAGATAGTACCTCAGCCTGGGCCAAGTAGGGATTCAAGTAATTTATTTTTTTGCAGCCCAGTGGCAGAGAGTCTCTTACTCAGGTTGCTAAAGGGAGTATGCCACAACAGAATTGACATCACTCCCTTCTCCAAAGCAACAAGGCATCTTGAAAGCTCAGCTTCTTGGTGAAGTTTTATGGTTGGTGGCAGGGCTTAGTTTATCCATGTGAAAAGACAGCTGAGTCTGGGATGAAAATTCTTCAAAGGAAAACCCCTTCTCAACAGTCACACTGAAGAAATTTCAGCCAACACATAATCAAATTCACTTTTGGGAGAAGTCCATCCCAAAATTTTATAGTGGGAAGAGAGGTAGGTACAGTTACCCAGCCCACATTCACTGCTTTCTTCCTTGTCTGGATCAGATGTAGTTTGAAGAGAAGCTCTCCTACATTCATCTTCTATGTCAGGAAAGATGAACAGAGGCCAAAGCGGGGTCCTGTCTTTCACAGATTCATTTTGGTTCTGGCAGATCGTGAGCCGTAAGCATCCTGTTCCCACTGTGTGCACTCTGGGATCAGACAGGGCTGCTCTTCCAGGAGTTGACACCCATGCTCATGTCCGTCTTTCAGTTAAATCTCCTTGGTTTAGTAACTGTAAAAGATTAAAACCAAATCTGGAATAGGCTACCACTGAATAATAGGAAAAGTAATTCATACTAAGGAAAAGGTTTAAGTGGGAGTGGGGAATGTACTACAGGGGTAAGTCAAGGGTATCTAGTTCCAAAGCAAGAGACATACGTAGACTGATAGATCTCTTTCACATCCTGGCCTTGGGACAGCGGGTATCTAGTTCCAAAGCAAGAGACATACGTAGACTGATAGATCTCTTTCATATCCTGGCCTTGGGACAGCATTTTGGCCCATGATGCTGGCATTTTCACTATGACAATAAGGTATCCCGAGTCCTAAGCCAAACTATTGTTTGCGTAGTCATGTACTCACTAGTCAGTGATTGAGGCATGCCGAACTTAACAGATATATCGGAAATGGTGGAATCCCAAATCTCCTGTCAGGCAGCGTTAGTCCAAGTACAGGCTGAAAGCTCAAGCAGAAGTAAGAGGAATGGGAGGCTACCCCAGTGAGTTCTATATGAGTTCCCACTCGTAAGGAATCCAGGGATTCCCAGGGTCCAAAAGAATGCCTTCCCTATGATGAAGGGAGAAAGCCTGAGACTCCAAGAGGGTGGCAGCCAAAACAGACTTTCTACCCTACACTCAAGGCTTTCTGTTGAAAGTGCTGTTCTGTACAATTGATGAAACGGAGTTCCATTTTGTTATGAAAATGAGATGGGAATAACACAGTGAAATTCAGAATAAAAATGGCTTAGTAAAAATATAACCAGACAAATTCTTGAGCTGGGGATAGATTTACTTGGTGATCTCAACTTGGGTAAAGGTAATTTATACAGTAGAATTTAATAATACGGAATTTAAAGAAATTTAAACAAAATTTAAAGAAAAATGTAAAAACTTAAACCACAAATTTCATTTGATGCTGTATTGTTAGGATGTAAGAATGGTGTCTTTTAAATCCAGGTCAAGATCCAGATATTGGCACTCAAATTAGCAATGACACTTGATGAGAAATCTTAAAGAATTTGTAATTTGTTTCTTTCTTTTTTGGAAGACATTCTGATTTATTGAAGGCTGGGTGGCATTTATACTGGTTCCTGCATTCGAGAATATGAGCTCAGTGTGGCTATAGAACCCCACTTGGGATGCCTTTTAGTCAGCAGAGGTCCCAAAGCCCTGGGGTCCCAATTGGGCCTGCACAATAAGTCCTCTATCTGATTTGCAGAAGGCTGGGTAACACCGAGGGCAAATAAAAATTGTTCAATCTGAACCATTTGAATAAGATGTAGTTTTGATATATTTCCCATAATTTCTTTTATGTTTTAAGAAGAGTTGTTTTTTTTTTTTTTAAGTAGTGCTTAAAATTTTAAGTAGTGCTAAAAAATTACTTAATTATTTTTAAGTAATCTCCATGCCCAACACGGGGCTTGAACTCACCACCCCGACATCAAGAGTGACATGCTCTACCAACTGAGCCAGCCAGGCACCCCTCCCGTGATAATTTCTGATAATTGCTTTGGTTATTCTGATATTCTTGTTACGTTTTTACTTTTAGAGCCTATTTACAGGGGTCCAAGTAGAAGTGCACAAGTAGATTCTTACAGGTCTGATCTACAGCGTGTGATTATCTCCAAAAATTTGAAATAAGCATTGTTGTTTTAAGGACTGCAAATAGCCTTTTATCTGAGAATCTCTAAGGACTCAACATTCCTCACTCACTGGAGGAAGGTCAGTTAGTACCAGGACCTTGGATGAGGAAGAGAACTAAACCTGGAGGCTTGAGGGCCTTGTAGCTTTTAAAAATGAAGGTATCAGATGACGTGATAAACCTGTCTCGATAAGGAAAAGGAGAGGAAGAGCAGTGGAAATGCCTGTGGTAAGAGGAGAAATAATAGAGGTAACAGTGAAGGAAACAAAAGAAGTGAGGCTCAGACAGAGGGTGTGTTCGTAAATACACAGGACCCAAGGACCCGTGAGGGAAAAGTGATAATCTAGGACTTTCAGCCTCACTAAGGGCAGCACTTTCCCCTTTGTGTTAATATTTTCCTATTAAGAGTTTGGGGTTTCCACCATGAAACTGGGTATTTAGGGCCTGCAGACCCTCAGTGTCCTCCTGGAGGGAAGGCCAAGTTTTTTGTTTTTTTTATAGGTGATCTGTGTTACTGGGTCTGCCTGAGACTATGAGTGAGCATCACCTAGACAAGGACACAATGAAGCCAATTCCAAGACCCATGTGCCTAGGCCCAAGGGGAAAAAATGTGCTGTTGCTGGACTTTTTGCATACACAAATCTGACCATGTCATACCTGCCTTAAAACCATGCAGTGGCCCCCCATTGCCCCTGGGATAAAACCATGTCCTTTAAGGCCCTTCAAGAGAGAAACTAGCATAACTTTCCTGCTTTCACTTTTCATTCCAGCCCATCTCTCCATTCCACATCCCATCCTACTCAACCCTTTTGATTCCATAGTTGTGTGCCCTGTTCCCTCTCACCTTCTACCCTTGTACACACTGCTTGCTACCTTTATGCCTGTTATCTTCTTCCAATCCCTCCCACTTATCCATCAAGATAACTGCTATTCATTCCTCAGGTCTCAAACCTAGAATTCATTCCCTGACTTCCCCCAAGGCTAGCACTTACTACACCATATAAAAATTGCCAGTTTATTGATCTGTCACCCTTCCCATGCTCTCTGTACAGTACAACTCCAGGGGCACCATTTGCACAGTTATAAAAGGCAACGATTGTACTTTGTTTACTATTGTATAACTAGTACCCAGCAGAGGGCCTTGCACATATTAGGTATATAGCACCCTGTTGACTAAGGTTTTCTGTTCATTTTGTTGTTGTTTTGTTATTTCAGAAAGAGCGAGCGAGAGAGTGCCCGAGTGGGGGAGAGGGGACTGGGGAAGAGAGAGAGAATCTTAAGCAGGCTCCACACTCAGCGTGGAGCCCAACTTGAGCGCAACGTGAGCCCAATATGGGGCTTGATCCCACAACCCTGGGATCGTGACCTGAGCCGAAATCAAGAGTCAGACGCTCAACCAATTGAGTCACCCAGGCTCCCCTTGACTAAGTTTTTATACATCTGGTATTTATTTGAGGAAACTTGGAATGATTCATTGAAAAAGGTATTTAGCAATACAGGAGAGAAAAGCTCCAAGGTTTCAAATATAAAAAAGGAAAAGGCTGAGTGTTGGGGACTGGCTTGTCAGAATGACAATTTCTAGTAGGTAAAAAAGAAATAATTTTTCTGAACTATTGCAGAGCGATCCAGTAGTTGACGAAAGCTTTTCTCTGACAGAAGGATCACAGTTCATAAAAGCAGAAAGAAAAAGGGAATTAGGATATCACCATTTTGCAAGCCTTAAAAAAAAAAAAAAAACTGATCTAGGCCATGATCAGTAATGTTTACCAAAATTTTTATGTAACCCATTGGTCAATCATTAAGCTTAGTAAGAGGATAACTGAATACCATATGTCTCCTGTGAACTGTAACAGAAAGCAAGAGTACCACCTATAAAATATTCTTGCCAAGGAAGGGGGAAAAAAACATGAATCTAAGCTCCTAACTACCAGTTTTTAGAAAATCTCTGGATAGAGAAATATATTAAACAGCAAAAGGAGTCAATCAGTCAAAACCAGAATGTAGGAAATTGTATAGGACAAATAACCCAATTCCTTAAACAGCCATTCTGGAAAAAAAAGACAGGGGGGAAGAGGGGGAGACTATTAGAGATAAAGAGAATTAAGAGAATTATTAACCAAATGCAATGAATGGGGCTTGTCTGAATCCTAATTCAAACCAACCATTAAAAGACATTTTGAGAAAAAAAAGGAATATAGACTTACTGTTTGAGGATATCAATAAATCATTAATTTTATTGGGTGTGATAAAGACAGCTATGAAAAAACCAGGTTTGTTTTTTAAATTTTTTTTAATGTTTATTTCTGACAGAGAGAGACAGAGCATGAGAGGGGGAGGGGCAGAGAGAGGGGGAGACACAGAATCTGAAGCAGGCTCCAGGCTCTGCATTGACAGCACAGAGCCCCATGCATGGCTCGAACTCATGGACCATGAGATCATGACCTGAACCGAAGTCGGATGCCAACCAACTGAGCCACCCAGGCGCCCCCAAAAAACTTACCTGTTAGAGGTATATCCTGAAATACCTACAAATGAAATGGTATGTCTGTGATTTGCTTTTAAATACTCCATCCAGCACAGGGGTACCTGTGTGGCTCAGTTAAGAGTCCAATTTCAGCTCAGGCCATGATCTTAGGGTTCATGGGTTCGAGCCCTGCATTGGGCTCTGTGCTGACAGCAGAGAGCCTGGAGCCTGCTTCGGATTCTTTGTTTCCCTCTCTCTCTTCCCCTCCCCAACTCGTGCTCTGTCTCTCAAAAATAAATAAATAAATGTTAAAAAAAATCTTAAATACTCCAGCACAAACAGAACAGCAGCAACAAATTGTAGGTAGGAAGAGAGAAAATAAGAACAGTAGAAAGCTAACTGTTGAAGTTGGGTGATAGGTACATGAGTACTATACTCTCTCTCACTGTACTTTATGAAAACTTCTATAACAAAAATTTTAAAACACATAAACACATAAAACACATAAGAGGGGAAATAACAAGGGAAGTCTTCATAGGTGAGACATGTTCCAAAGCAGTAGCCAGGAGAAAGTGGATTAGGAAAAACCAATGATACCAATAGCAAAAAAACTTTCAATATAATACAAGCAAGACTCAGACAATGGGTCATAATGATGACATACAAGGAAAGATCCTGGCAAAAACATGAACATGCATGGCCAAAGCCCTGTGATCCTGAGGATCCCCAGGAAGCTTACAGAATAATCAAGAATATTCAGTATAGGATGCAGTCATTTGAATACTGCAACAGTTGTGGTATCGAAAGGACAGGGGAAAAAGATGGGACAGCACTGTAAGAGATACTGTAATATGAAGATATCCGGGATACCCAGGTTTTGGCAAAAGTTTATACATATGAAATGAGCTCATGATGAAGTCATTTACTCCCAAGACAAAAGACCAATAAAATATCCTAAGATTCTAGAAGCCTGACAAGTTTTCATTCTGTTTTCTGGGTTGGAGCCAAGACCATAAAGATGGGAGTGCTTAGAATAAACTTAAAACTTTCCCTGCTTTAGATAATGGTTCTCATTCCACAAGCAAGTGAACATGTCCTGTATGTCCAGTTGGTTCAGCCTGGTACAAAATGAACAATGATTACTTTCAATGATTTTGTCACTACTCTTTTTGCTCAAGGACCACTTTGTCCCAGGATATTATTTTCCTTATAAAATAAAAGCAATATCCTTATGTCATAGGCAGAGAACAGTAGGAGCAGATATCATTCAGTAAGGTATGTATACAAAGGAAATTAAAGCTGAGAGACCCAGCCGTGAGTGACCAATCTCCCAATCCAGGAGACCCTAACAATCAAGTTTCTTTCAAATCTGATCTTCTAGTCAAAGTTTCCAGGAAAGGGAAACTGGAGTCAGTTTCAGATTTTCTCAACTAGATCTCTAACCACTGTCCACATTAGTCTCTACAGAAACAAAGTAAGGGCAAGAGATAAATTTACCTCCTGTGGATTTACGGCAGTTAAGACAGAAACCTCATATGACTGCCTCCCTGACTGCATGGTCACCAAGTGATGTGTCACATCAGGCACTGAAGACAGGGGACGTGGGGATCCTTCAGCAAGCACCTCTGAAACAGCAGAAAATGTCTCAATGAAAAGTGAATCCACAGTTATACCTACCTGCATTATCAAGCCTCATTAAGAACACTAAAAACTGTTCCCTGAAAAACCCATATTCCTATATTTTTTCCAAATTAATTCCTGTCTGATAATCATTACCAGTGAATTTAGAAAGTACGACAAAAGGGGGATGGGAAGGAAAGGCAAGAAATCCTGATGTAAGAGTTGACCATTTTGTAATATACCAATTTAAAGTAATATAGCTTTAGCACTGTTAACTGGATTAACCGTGCATTGAAACAGGGCAAAATCTGCTTATGCAGGCAAATCAGGAGACCAGAGCCAACCGTTAAAGCAGCCACCAATGATAGAAACAGCATAATATGAGCAAGTCAAGAAGTTAGGTCTGGCTTCAAAGTTCCTGTACTCAGTGTCCCTTCCTCCCTTGAGACTTTCTTCCTTAAGAATGGCAAAGTAGTTCTATGCAATTTCTGTGTCTTACACTTTGGTTATCCACTAGTATCATTTACAAAACCGAGGAGGCTTGTTGTGGAAGCACACTCTGGCCCATGTAGACTCCACACAGAAGTTACACAAACATGGTCACCTATATACAAAACTGAATGGGATATGAGGAGTAACTAAAACACAGGATCTCAGACTTTATCAAGTGAGATCACCAGAAAAATCTTCTGGAAACAGTTCATACATAAACTACTTAGCCCCCTAAAAAATTAAAAGTTTCTTCCAGGGGGGCTTTCAATACCTACTGCTCTTCCAGACTGCACCGTGCAATGTAACATTTGCTTATATACTATTTTCTGTTCACTGTTGTCTCCCGTATGTAAATTTTGACTTCTCAACTACATTTTAAGGTCCCTGCTTTCTACTTTTATCTTTCCCATGGTGCCAGGCACACAGTAGGCACTGAATAAATGCATGCTGACCTCACCTGTTAAGTTTTTCAGAGAAGAGGGCCTGGCCTGTGTAACTTGGGTGAAATTTCTATACCAGAGAGGAGCAACTGTTTCCTAGAGAGCCCTTTCTTTTCTCCAGAAGATATGGCTTTTGAAGGTATGGAGAAATTGCTTTATATCTCCTCTGTAAAACCTGGTTATGTTCTGTTTAAATGTTTTAAAAGTTAAGTTCTTCCAAAACTGCAATAGGAAAGATAGAAATAGTTGGGCTAGGATGCTAGGATTATGGATAATTTTCTTCTTAAAATTTTTTGTTACTCTTTTGTTACATCATCTCTTCAACGAAAAAGAAAAAAATTTTTTTAACAGATTCACTTATCCATCCCAGAGACAAAGAATACAAATGCTACTCAATCATACCACAGCTACTCACAAGAAATGAAATTAATTAAAACCTCCATTTTGGAGACAACCCCATTCCTTAGTCCCTAGTTGCAGCCCATTTTCCCCAAATAAAGGAGAGTTGAAAGTCTTACCATCATCAACTCCTAGGATAGAATTGGTATTTGGTAGGTTCAAGGACTCTCCACCAAGGCTGGGCTGGGAATTCATAGGCACCAGGTTTTTACTGGTTACTGAAGCCTCTTCAAGCAAACTACTGCCCATTAATGGCTCAGCTGCACAGAGAATAGGATGTAAGAGACATGCAGCGGTCAAGGCTGTGCCTGGTCCCCATTTCCCTTCATGGGAAGCTGACTTTTTCTTTCGGAAGTGGAAGCCAACCTGTATCTTGGATGCTACCTAGTTTTGGGAGCAAGAGTAAACCTAGAAGGGAAGGGTGGAGCCTCATAGATAAATATCCTCGCCTGTGATCAGCAGGTGGAGAATTAAGGTATGAAATGGGATGGATGTGTCCTTGGAAAGGAGTATTTGGAATAAAATAATTGATTAAAATAACACGTGGAAAAAATAATAAAAATGAGTTATCAAATTTAAGTTAGGGTAAAAAGGGAGTCATGACTGATACATAAAAAATGTTTAAAACCTTGTCTTATAGAAATCTTTATCACAGTAATGCTCAAATGCTGGTTCATGGATCAGCACGAGTTACCACCAAACTCACTAGGGAAACTTAAAAACTACAGATTCTGGGATCTTATTCCCAAATAATCTCATTTATCAGGTTGTATTGTTTTATTTGGGAATGAAGAGTGGACAAGCAATACAAATATATACATTTTAAAAGCTTATAGATTTTATTGTACAGCTACATTGGAAACCACTAGTCAATGCAGTGAGACCAGGTCTTTCTCCCCAACACAGAATCTGAAAATTTCCAAACAACCAGACATGCCAGTCATTTGGCTTTTTGAAACCAGAAGATGTAGCCCTCCACTACACCCTCTCTTCTCACCAGTTTGCTCCTGCTCTTGACTCCCAGCTGCTCCTAGCTGCAAATGATGCTTTCTCATGTGCACATTCCTACTCCCACTCTGAGAGAAGGTCTTCCCACATACTTGACACTGATGGGGCTTCTCTCCTGAAACAGAGACCAGGTTAAGACAGGGTAGCCAAAAAGACAGGGTACATTCCTGACAGCAAGAGAACGGATTCAAGACCAGGACAGAGAAGCCCAGAGAATGTTAAGCTAAACATAAGAGGCTTTTCCTTCTCCCATTCTCCACCCAGACTCCAAACTTTCAGTACACCAGAGAAGGCAGGAAGAGTTCACCAGGAGAGCTTGGCACGCTCACTGCTCCCAGCCCCTATCCTTCCCACACCCACTGTACTGCTGCCTTCACAACCTCTGGTATCAGGTCATGGCGGCCATGTAGAATACTTCCTTCCCTTTCCAGATACAGTCTTCCATGGACCTCCAGAACACGTACCATCCTCAAGGATCCCAACCCTGCATTCATAATACCCCCTTATTCCACTTCCCGCCACCACTCTCACAGTCTTCAGTGTTTACACCGATGGCTCTTCCACATGGCGATCTGAACTACCCTCTGTGTCCTCGAGTCCAAAACTCTCAGTCGGCTTTCCACCTACTCAGACAATCACACTTAGAGCTAGGGTCAGAAACACATGCCTACAAGGGACTAGCCTGTGACAAAAGTAAGTGAAATGGCCAGAAAACTTCCAGAAATGGCAAATCTATAGAGACATAAAGCTAACCAGTGGTTGCCTGGATCTGGGGGCGGAAGCAGGAACTGACAACGAGGGGGGCAAAAAGAAACCTTCTGGTGTGACAGAAGTGTTCTAAAACTGGATTGTAGTGATGACTGTATAATTCTATATATTTTCTAGAAATCACTGATTTGTATGCTTATAATGGATGAATTTCAAGGTACATGCATTACACATCAAAAAAGCTGTTGATGGGGCACCTGGCTAGCTCAGTGGAGCGTGAGACTCTTGATCTCAGGATTGTGAGTTCAAGCCCCATGATGGGTGTAGAGATTACTTAAAAATAAAGTCTTAAGCTCTCCCAGGACAGCGAAAGAGTAGGTCTGGGGAGCCACCCCTGGAGCCAGAGCTGTCGTGTCCCCCTCCTCTTTTAATTTCCTGTTGCCAACAATAAAGGCCTTTCCTACCATAACAAAAAACAAACAAAAAAAAAGAAAAAATTTAAAAAAATAAAGTCTTAAAAAAAAGCTGTTAAAAAAGAACTAAAATGGATTGACATACAGTGACTATACAGAAACCCATGAATTCAAACTAATACTAATGAGAAAGAAAGGCAATTATCTGACACTACTAGAAGAAACAAGAGCACCAATTTCTTATTTTGAAAACTCATAATCAAAAGAAATTAAAAGAAAAAGATGACATATTTATTCTCCATTCCTGTACAGATTACCAAATAGCCCTACTACATAGAGAAGAGACCTATTATACACAGAATTCCAGCCGAAGTGAACAAAATAACAGAATTAGAAACCTACCACTTTAATATCCTAATGAAATAACCAATTCAGGCATCATTCAGCGATGAAACCATGAAGCAAAAGGTTGCTGGGGAAATTTACAGTGTGAATATCATGGTGTTACCACCTGAACCTACTGATGAATTCTGTAACCAAGCACTTTGTGCCTCCTGATGTGATAAATAATGAAACACATACGAACATCTATAACATATCCATGCTAAATCTTTGAACCTTTGAGGTTTTTAGGGCTTACTTCCTTTTATAGGAAATCTAGGGGAACAAGTTAAATGACATAAAAGGAAACAAACCAACAAATCCAGAATATGGGACATTCTATAAAACCCAACTAACCTCCATTATGCAGTAAGTCTATGACATGAAAGAAAAAAAGTGAGTACAGATGGATTTAGAGAAGACTTACTCAGTACAATAATTAAACCTTGTTGGATCCTGATTTAAACAAACCCACTTTAAAAGACACTTTTGAGAAAAGTGAAGAAAAACTAAACACGGATTGGGTATGAGATAAAACTAAGAAATTGTTAGTCCAGAAAGGTATGATGATAGTATTGTTGTTATATAAGAAGACATCTTTATTTGCTCTTATGTATGTCTGAAATAATTTTATGTAATAAAATTAAGTAAAATAAAATAAAAACACTCTATAAGCCAAGCAAAACCTACGTAGAAGTCTACATCTAAGCCACAGGTTATCATTTGCCACCTCTGCTTAGAACTTGTCATCATATAAAAAACTGCTCCGTTCCTACAAGCTCAGCTCTGAAATTCATGTCCCTGATTGATTATATCTTTCCAACTCCCTCATTCCCACTGAACTGCTTCACTGCCCTCATCGTAAACAACTTCCAGTTCCTTCTCTCCACTCCTCTTGTTCTGGCTTCCCTATACTTCCTGTGGCTAACGATTTGAATAATTACTTGATTCTGTTCTAGAATCTCTCCACTTTGAGTTCACTTCTGCCTTGGCAAGTCTCTGCTTTGAATGACCTCCATGGTCCATACCTGATATAATTTATAAAGCACCTAGCACAGTGGCAAATAAATTTGCAAATAAATCTCCTCAGAAAAGCTCTGAATTAGAAAGCAATTCAGTCAATGGCTAAGCTGAAAATAAGAAAAATCAGTTTTTTTCCCCTTTGATTATACAACCCTTTGAATTCAATCATTAAGAGCCTTGATTTTTAATTTTGTCATGAGGAGAAGCCAACTTTATGTTGAACAGTCTGTTACTTTCTAGATTTCTTTTTATTTTTTTTTAAGTTTATTTATTTATTGTTGAGTGTGGCCATGCACATGTGCATGTGTGGGAGCAGGGGAGGGACACGCAGAGAGAGGGAGAGAATCCCAAGCAGGCTCCACATGCTCAGCACATGAAGCCTGAAGCAAGGCTCGATCTCAGAAACCATGAGATCATGACCTGAGCTGAAATCAAGAGTCAGAGCTTAATTGACTGAGCAACCCAGGCGCCCCCTCTAGATTTCTTTATACCATCCCCCTCCCACACATTTACACTTTTGGTTCTCCACCTTCCCTGAAATCTATGAATGGCCAGAGTTCTAGTACCTGAGTGAACCACCAAATGTTTTCGGAGGCTAGAATACTCAGCAAAGGAACGGCCACATCCTTGGGCTTCACAAAGGAAAGGCTTCTCTCCTAGAGACAGAAAATAAGTTAAAGACTCAGTCTTCTGATGAACTGACTATCTATTACTCTCTTTTCCCATTAATCTTACTCTGTTTCCAATGACTTGCTCTGATTTCTTGAATTCATGCTATATAATTTCAATTGGGCCATTCAGCAAGTGTCATCTCTCAATGATCTCCTAGTGGACAGCCACCATATAGTCCTGCCCTCTTCTTTAGAGTGGCTACCTCTGAGCATCATACTTCTTTCTCCCACCTGGCTCAAGGGCTGACCCCAAGCTACAATGACCTACCTTCTTCAGTAATCCCATCCCTTTTGAGGGTATCAAGATCAACACCATATATGCTATCAGGATTTTTACTTTCAATCAATTCTCTTTATGATTCAGTTTCTAAATCCACTAAAAAGTAGAGATTTCTACAAGTTACAAAATAGGTATTACATAGTCCTTTTCTATAAAGCAAACAAAAACAGGTGTTCAGTCAGAAGTATAAAGAAAAACCTGTAACAATATGCTAAAGGTAGTTATATCCTGACAGTGGTATTATGGATGGTTTGCTTTCTTCTTTGTGCTTTTCTGGAAGTTTCATTGTTTACAGTATTACTTTGTTATTTTAAAAATCAAAGATGCATGGTAAAAACTAATTAAGGTCTGTAGACTGAAAGTACTATTAACTTTCTGGTTTTGATATTGTACTGTGGCTACATAAGATGTCACATTTTGGGGAAACTGGGTGAAGCACACAACAAAATCCTTTGCACTATTTTTTTTGTTTAATTTTTTTAATGTTTCTTTATTTTTGAGAGAGAGAGAGAGACAGAGCATGAGTGGGGTAGGAGCAGACACACACACACACACACACACACACACACACACACACACACACACAGAATCTGAAGCAGGCTCCAGGCTCTGAGAGGTGAGCACAGAACCCAAAGTGAGGCTTGAACCCATGAACCGTGAGATCATGTGACCTGAGTCGAAGTCAGACGCTTAACCGACTGAGTCACCCAGGCACCCCTCTTTGTACTATTTTCACAACTACTCATGAGTCTATAATTATTTCAAAATAAGAAGTGGAGGGGGCACCTGGGTGGCGCAGTCGGTTAAGCGTCCGACTTCAGCCAGGTCACGATCTCGCGGTCTGTGAGTTGGAGCCCCGCGTCAGGCTCTGGGCTGATGGCTCAGAGCCTGGAGCCTGTTTCCGATTCTGTGTCTCCCTCTCTCTCTGCCCCTCCCCCAGTTCATGCTCTATCTCTCTCTCTGTCCCAAAAATAAATAAATGTTGAAAAAAAAAATTAAAAAAAAAAAATAAGAAGTGGAAAAAAAAATCAGAGATGCAGTTCTTATCTGAAGGTCACAGACTAGTATGAGAGAAAGAAATGTATTCATACATAACTTTAATGTAAGTTTCTGTACAAAAAAAGTACTGTAAGTATTTAGAAAAGAGAGGAATTCTAATTGTGGTAATTTTTTTTTTTTTTTTAAAGAAGCTGAATTTAAGCTGATCTTAAAAGATGACAAGGAAGGAAGGGAATTTCAGGCACAAAGAACAGTGTGAGCACAGCCTTGAAACTAAGAGTGCCCAGGACAAGTTCAGAAAATAGCAAGTGTAAAATAAGAAGTATACCTATTGGTCTCTGCCTCTGGTTCCTGACACAGAGCTCCTAAATCCCTTGGAATTTCCTAGGTGATAGTAGTGTCTCTTATTCTAGTGAGGTAACTCTTGGGTGGGCTCCTAGATAAGGGCTGCTCTCCAGAAAGACCAAGCCATGATTAGAAGCTTGGGATTTTCAGCCCCATCCCCTACTCTCCAGAGAGGGAAGAGGGGCTGGACATGGAAATTAATAACCGATGATGCCCACATGGAGAAGCCTCTATAAAATTCCCGAAGTACAGGGTCCGGAAGCTTTCTGGTTGGTGAACACAACTACTGCCAGAAGGGTAGCACACTCCAACTCCATGCGGGCAGAAATCCCTGTACTTCAGACCTTTCCAGATCTCGCCCTATATATCTCTTTGTCTGGCTATTCATCTGTATCCTTTAGCATATCCTTTATTATACAATAAACTAGTAGATGTAAGTAAGTGTTTCCCTGAGTTCTATGAGATGCTCTCACAAATAACTGAATCCAAAGGAGGATCATGGGAACTTCTGATTTGTAGCCTGGTCAGACAGAAGTTGTGAGCAACGTGGGAACCTACTACTTGCAACTGCCATCTGAAGCAGCATAGGAACAATCTTGTGGGACTGAGCCCTTGATCTGTGGGATCTGATGCTATCTACAGATAGACAGTGTTAGAATTAAGTTAAATTGTAGGACACCCAGCTGGTATTGCAGAGAATTGTTTGGTATGGGAACAATCCTCACACATTTGGTGTCAGAACTGTTGTCAGTGTGGCAGCAGTGTGAGAGTAAAGGAGAAACCCAGGAAGAGCAAGTTTCCCTACCCGGCAACTAAAGCTGACACGGTGACAACAGGGGAGCTGGGCATGGAAGGGGGGACAACACTGCTCTAGATTATACTGTTCTTTCAGACTGTACCACAGTTTAATGTTTGTGACTTTCCAGTGAGTGGTCTGTAACTTTTCTGAAAACATGTTTATATACTCACACCTACCCCAAAATGCTAGGCACTCAAAAGTGGCCAAATAAATGAATAATATACTTGTTATTACAGCCTTAGAACAAGACTCATCAGAATCTAGTGGCATGAATCACTACATCAAGCTGGCTTAGGTGAGATGGCCTTCGCATTTGGAAACTGAGAGGATGGTGATTTTTGCTGAAAGGAAAAGACACAGGAGAAGAGGATGGTCAAGAGGCAATGCTGCGTAATGATTAAGAGCATGAGTCCATTAATGTTGAGTTCAAATCTTGACACCACCACTTATTAGTACAGGGAAGATAGCTGACCTCTCTGAGAAGCAGCTTTTTCTCTATAAAATTAACACAATACAATCTCAAAAGATTATTTTGAGAACTGAGACACTACAAGTATCTTCAGCATAGTGTCTGGCACATAGTCAGCCCTCATGGTAAGCCACTGAAATTGGTAGCTTTAATTACTATCGTTACTACTAATAAAGACCAAAACTGTGGCTCAGTTTTGACATTTGAGATAATGTGAATTATCAGCATTTGAAATCAAAATCCTTGTAAGAGCTTTGGAGTCAGATCAGAATTCAAATCTCAACCCTGCCTTTTCCTAGCTGTGTAATGTTGGGCAAGTTATTTAACTCTAATCTCCTGTTTCTTCATCAACAAATACAGTATCTCATGCATAAAGTATCCTTGAGAATTAAATGGGATAATGTGGGGGCGCCTGGGTGGCGCAGTCGGTTAAGCGTCCGACTTCAGCCAGGTCACGATCTCGCGGTCCGTGAGTTCGAGCCCCGCGTCGGGCTCTGGGCTGATGGCTCAGAGCCTGGAGCCTGTTTCTGATTCTGTGTCTCCCTCTCTCTCTGCCCCTCCCCCGTTCATGCTCTGTCTCTCTCTGTCCCCCAAAAAATAAATAAACGTTGAAAAAAAAAATTAAAAAAAAAAAAATGGGATAATGTGTATGTGCCAGACCCATATTAAATTGTGTCAATAAATGCTGACTTTTATTATTATATTAATTATGGCGACTCAGATCTGTGAGGCATCCAGGGAGAAATGATCACATTGAGCCCTGAGACTGCAATGAGAGAGCACACTGAGTGAAATGGGAGAAACATGAAATTCTGAAAATGATGAACAATTAGAGGAGATTAACAAGGGAGAGCCAGAAAGAGCTAGAATGAAGAGAGAAAATAAGGTCATGCCCCAAAGTAAAAGGAAGCATTTTAAGATGTTCAGTTTTATCAAATCTACAAACATAAGTTGCAGCACGAAGATGAATGGGTTAATGAATTCAAAAATCAAGTACGGTGAACTCTATCTACTTCTTCCCTAATCTATTCAGCTAGATGTTTTTCTTGTTCTTTCATTCAAACTGCTTCTTGGAGCAAGTATAGTTTACTCTCTCAAGAAAGAGCTGAGAACACAGCTATTCTGCCCTAAAACATATCCAGTGGTAATGGCACTCTAGCAGGAATCACAGGGGCATACCTGGAACAAGTTTCACTTTTTAATGCCCTTTAATTGTATTTGCTATTGTTTTAGCAATGCAAGAAGAAAGAAGAGACAAAGAAAGTGGCAAGAGAGGGGGAAGAACAGTTACACATCCTCAGAGACCAGTCTTGGTTCAGTGATTAAACTCTGACAAGAGACTTAGCACATTTTAGGCTTGGAAAGTCGCCCTTAAACTCTCAGAATGAGAGTCAAGGTATTTTTATCGTGGTCCTTTGGTATTAACATGCCACTGGACCCAAATCAAGTCACTTTTCCATTTTGCTTCTCATGTTGTGAGGCTTTAACAAGAAAGCAAACTCCTCAAAGTCAGGGGTTAAAATTAGCTTTTGTATTTCCCCCTACCTTACCCCATTTGGTGGCTAGAAGAGGCTCTGTATGGTTTGTATAATTCAATAAATATTACTGACCAAAATTACAACCAAGTAACATTTGAAGAAATTTAGCAATACTAATTTTGTCCATATCTCATCATATCATTGTTATCAGAGAAGGTCTTATATGCCTTCCTACACTTTAAGCTCCTAGAGGCAGAAATTAACACTGTCCATTCCTCACACACAGGTGAAAAGTCAATAAATGTGACTGAATTAATTGAAAAGTGCCACGAAGCATGTGAAAAAAAGAAATTCCACTTTTCGAGTTCTAGCAACAACCCTAGACCTTCATTTCTATTTCCACCTCAGAGCCTTTCTAAGGATAGGCAAGCAAACCCTGAGCCAAGTGGTAGACTGCCTGCAGGAATGTTGGGGTTGCACACACCTGTATGGATACGCAAGTGGTTCTTCAGATTTCCAGCTGTAGTGAACTGCTTACCACAGCTAGACTCGGGGCACATAAAGGGCTTCTCCCCATTATGAGTCCTCATATGCACCTTCAGCCTCTGCAACACATAGAAGCTTTTCCCACAACCTTCCGCCGGGCAGATGAAAGAGCGGTCATTTCTGCAACAACAAAACAAAACAAAACAAAAACAAACCAACAAAAACAAATCACATAAGCACCAATACCTGAAAATGCTCTTTGCTAGAAAGGGCAAGTCACAGCTCCTGTTGCCTCTCAAAGCAGACAGTAACTCCCAAACCTAGGTATGTCAGAATCACCTGATGTCTGCTAAAACTACAGATGCCCAGGACTGCCTTCCCTTTTTTTTTTTTTAAAGTAATCTTACGCCTGATGTGGGTCTTGAACTTATGACCCCAAGATCAAGAGCTGCGTGCTCTACCTACTAAGCCAGCCAGGCGCCCACACCTTACTTGTTGAATACTGATTTTCATAGGTTTGAGAGTAGGGCCCACACTTACTTTTTTTTTTTAAGTTTCCCCAAAAATTATGTTTTATGTTTTGGCACATTTAAGTGCCAAATGTCTTACTAAATATCTGTAAAGAATGAGGTAAATGAGACAACGCAATCTTTCTATTAAAGAACAAAAGACATCTTAATCACGAGTAAACTGGAGCCCCTGCTTTCCTTTGTCAATTGAGGGACAAGCTCCTCCAGAAGCATCACCGTTCTTGACCTCTAAGCATGGAACCTCAGATATGCTCACCGATGAGTTTTGAGATGGTACTTGAAGTGAGCTGGCCACACAAATGTCCGGTCACAGCCTTCAACTGTACATTTGAGTTTCTTTTCCACTTGAGGAAGGGGCCCAGAATCTTTGGGCTGCCCATCTCCAGAACCAAGGTGGACATTCTCTCCTGTAACAGAGTCACATATTTGTAATCTAGAGAAGGAACCTGTTGAGGTACTTTGGTTCAAACCATAAAGCTCCTATATTTTACTCCTAATGATCAGCAGGCAGATATCTATCTTCAGCTTCCTTAGCTCTCTCTATATCCATTTAACAACAGAAGTGAGTGAGCAATTTGTTCCTAACCCTTTAATCCAGAGAATTATCAAAAGCCATCATGCTTTGTTTCACAAGACTAGGCCTCTCTGGCAAATGTCCACATGGTTCTGTATCAAAATAGGAGAGTTAAACCTATTTTGTATTACACAAATTGGCAGGGTAGCAGATACATCAATACCCGGAGTGGGGTGCTAAAGATGACTTCAAGTTCTAGGTATTACAAAGCTTGTATTTATTTTAGGAGGAGCAGCCATTCTGGCTTAGTTGTGGACTTAAGGTTGTGCTTTCTTTTGTAAATGATCATTCTTAGATTTCTATCTTCTGAGGTCAATTTGGCTGTTTCTATCATTGTAGAGAATTAGAATAACCTTCCAATTTCCTGTGCTACCTCTTTTTAGTTATAAAACTAAAGAATGCAAGAATTTAAGAATGCAAGAACTCAGCTGATTTTAAAATTTCTAAACACATTTTAAAAAGCTAGAGGTAACATCTACTGAAGTTTTTTGTTCAATAGAATAAAAGGAGGAGGGAAAAGGAGCATGTAGGGAGGTTCCTCCCTTAAATTTAAAGGAAATCAGTTAATTAAAAATTTATATAAATCCCAGATTCACAGGTGGTACTCCTTTTCTTTCATTTTCTTCAAGCATATGGAGTTTATTTTTCTACTATACATACCTCGGGAATAAGATTTATATTTCCAAATTTCCCTCTCAAAAGCCAAGAATAGGGATAATAAATGTTGTACCCATCACACTCCCTGGACCGTCTATTAATCTTATTCTCTTCCTGTCCTACATTCCCTTTGCTGTACACTTCAACTAAGATGGCTTTTGCTAGTTAATATTAACTTTTTCTTTCTTAATGTTGTCCCACAGTTTTTTAATTTAATTGAAAAATACCTGCACATAGATAAATTTTTAAAATTTCCTGCAACAGGAAATTTCCCACCAACTCCAGAGCTCCAGGCAATTAAAAGGTCTAATGAAAGGTCTGTAGAAATCCCATGCTAATATATAAATTTAAACCAGTGACATTTGGGGCTTTGTGCATTCAATGTTATAGATACAATGAGAACACTGATATAATCATGAAATTGAAAAATTGCTCAGAAAATAGTGGGTTGCCTTGTATTTGAGTCCTCATAAAACCACTCCCTTAAAAACACTAAAGCGGGGCGCCTGGGTGGCGCAGTCGGTTAAGCGTCCGACTTCAGCCAGGTCACGATCTCGCGGTCCGTGAGTTCGAGCCCTGCGTCGGGCTCTGGGCTGATGGCTCAGAGCCTGGAGCCTGTTTCCGATTCTGTGTCTCCCTCTCTCTCTGCCCCTCCCCCATTCATGCTCTGTCTCTCTCTGTCCCAAAAATAAATAAACGTTGAAAAAAAAATTTAGAAAAAAAAACACTAAAGCACTGTTTGCAGAAGACGGATAAGCTTAAAAGGACCTCAGCCAATGATAGTTTTGGATATTTATTTATTTATGTATTTATTTATGTATCTATTTATTTTAGTTTTGGATAGAGATCCTCTGATGAACAGTTCCCCCACTAAAAAAGAGAAAGACAAGGAAATTCAACACCTCATACTGAGCATGTCAGATAACACTGTAAACATTTTAAAGATCCCACAGTTATGTGAGAAAGGCCTCTGCATTTGGGATAACATTTCCAGTGACAGTATCATATATAGAATGGCTCAATAAATTTTTTCTGTAAAGAGCTAGACAGTAAATATCTTCAGCTTTGAGGACCATATGGTCTCTGTCACAACTACTTAACTTTGCCACTGTAGCAGCCATAGACAATTTGAATGTATGCCTGTCTTCCAACAAAACTTTATTTACACAACGGTTGGTTATTTGGCCCTTTACTAACCCCTGATATACTGCATCATATACAAAATGTAAATATTTCTGTATTTCAGTCAACTTAGATGGAAGTGAAGATGTGCTCTAAAAAACTGCTACAGGACTCTCAAAGTGGCTTTAATAACAACAAAGATATTTATCTTACAAATCCATTTAAATACTGAATAAAATCATTTCATTATATGTTAGTGGGTAAAAAGCAATATTAAATTAATATATTTCATGATTTAAAATGCATGTGTACAGGCACCTGGGTGGCTCAGTCGGTTAAACATCGGACTCTTGGTTTCAGCTCAGATCATGATCTCATGGTTTCATGACTTCGAGCCCCATGCAGGGCTGGCTCTGTGCCGAGAGCACAGAGCTTGCTTGGGATTCTCTCTCTCTCCCTCTCTCCACCCCTCCCCCACTCACGCTGTCGCTGTCTCACAAAATAAATTTTTAAAAAATGTTAAATGCGTTTGTAATCAAAACAATAAAAATTTCAGGTTGGAGTTAAGATGGCAGAGAAGTAGGGGGACTGGGATTTCCCTCATGCCTCAAACACAGCTGTCCTGAGGTCAGAACACTTAGAACAGAATACAGAGTGCAGAATAACAGAAAAATCTCTACAGATGGACAGAGACAGCTTGGTGGGACAGAGGTGTGTGTTTGTGAATTGAGAAAGATAAAATGGTGGGCAGCATAGGCATGGAGGGGAGGAGACCCCTTCTGTGGAGAGACAAAAGGAAGAGAAAGAGAGGCGAAGGAAGCACAGTATTGTGTTTGGACAAAAGAAAAACCTCTCAAGAGCATGAATGGGGAACAAGAAATAAAGGAGTTTCTACTTTGCCGTTTCTACTTTGCAAACGGCCTTAGAAGTGAAGATCAGAGTTTTCAGGGGTACATGACTTTCCCGGCACTGGCCTGGACATGTCCCTGTGTGCACAAGTCTGGGGGGAAAGGGGAGCCCAGCCCTGGGGCACAGTAGCGACCTCAGGGAGCACTGGGAGAGAACAGTCCCTTCCCTTGAGTACTGTGGGAAGAGGGTTTATTGCCCCCCCAAGGACAAAAGATCCTGCAGGCACCTGCCAGCCAGAGGCCCTGTGTCAGCTGGGCGGAGTGGTGCTACCCCAGAACCAGGTCTGCACGAAGCGGGACCCTTTAAGACAGTGGGTTCAGAATGCCAGCCGAGCACCTAGGAGGCATGGGAGACTGTGGAACAGGACAAGCCGCCCACGGCGCTATTCTGTGAGGGCTGCCTGAACAGTGTGGTTTGAGACACCGGTCTGGGGAGGACAGACCGGGGTGTCGCCGTTTTTCTCCCCATCACCAACACAGTGGGGCTTCAGGGAACAGGAGAGCAGCCTGCAGTGGAGGCCACTGGCTTACACCAAACCCCACCCCTCCGTGCCTGGCAACTGCTTATCTACCAAAGTGGAACTGACAATGACCAAACCAGATGGCCTCTCCTGCAAACCAGCACAGCCACCTGTTCCAGGCCCCAACAGACAACTGGACTGTGGTTTTGTATGTCAGTCTGTTATTGTTTTCTTTTCTTTCCTTCTCTTTTTCTTTCTTTTTCTTCCTACCCTCTTCTTTTTTTTTTCTTCCCCTTTTGAAATCAGGCTCACAGTTTCTGATTTGATTTCTGATCGATCTTTATATATATATATATACACGTGTATATATATACACGTGTATATATATATACGTATATATACGTGTATATATATATACGTGTATATATATATATATATAATCTTTTTTTCTTTCTTTTTTTCTTTCTCTCTTCTTTATTTTCCTCTCTCTCTCTCTCTCTCTGGATTAAGCCTTACAGTTTCTTTGATTCTCTGCCTGTTTTTTTTTTCACCCCTTCCATTTCTCTCTTTGTATGGAATAAGGTTCCCTCCCTCCCTCCCCCACTTTCCTCTTTTCCAAGGTTACTTCAACAAACACATCAAAGCACACCTGGTGGAAGGTCCAAACAATCCACCACTATGAGCAGTGGGATAGAGCAGCCAAATACTCAACAACAGAGTACACACAACACACTCCAGACAGTTCCTGAAGTGCCAGGCCCTGGACAGTGTACGACCCCTTTTTAATATAGCACTCACAGGTGCGGGACACATAACAAAAGCTATTAAAACACATAAAAGGCAGAAACCTTGTCATAATGATGAAATGGAAGAATTCTCCTCAAAAGAAATTCCAGGAAGAAATGATAGCCAGAGAATTTCTCAAAACAGATATAAATAATATATCTGAACAAGAATTCAGAATAACACTCATAGGACTAATAGCTGGGCTTGAAAAGAGCATAGAAGACAGCAGAGAATCTATTGCTACAGAGATCAAAGACCTAAGAAATAGTCTTGATGAATTAAGAAATGCTATAAATGAGATCCAAAATAAACTAGATGCAGTGACAGCAAGGATGGAAGAAGCAGAGGAGAGAATAGGTGAAATGGAAGATAAAATTATGGAAAATGATGAAGCTGAAAAAAAAGAAAGAAAATTACTAGACCATAAGGGGAGAATTCGAGTCCTAAGTGATTCAATGGAATGAAATAATATCCATATCACAGGAGTTCCAGAAGAAGATAGAGAGAAAGGGGCAGAAGGTTTATCTGAACAAATTATGGCTGACAACTCCCCTAACCTGGGGAAGGAAACAGATATCCAAGTCCAAGAGGCACAGAGAACTCCCTTCAAAAAAAAAAAAAAAAAAAAAAAATCAAAATCAGCATCACGACATATCATAGTGAAACTGGCAAAATACAAAGATAAAGAGAGAATTCTGAAAACAGCCAGGGACAAACAGATCTCAAACTACAAGGGTAGACACATAAGTGTAGTAGACCTGTCCACTGAAACTTGGCAGGCCAGAAGGGAATGGCAGGAAATATTCACTGTGCTGAATAGGAAAAATATGCAGCCAAGAATCCTTTATCCAGCAAGGCTGTCATTCAGGACAGACGGAGAAATAAAGGCTTTTCCAGAC